TAAAATGTGGCACAACTCATACTGCAGAGCATGGTGCAGCAATAGCTTTGATCGTCATAGAGCACGGGTGGATTTTAACAACACAGTACTAATTGCAAATAAGATCAGAACAAAATCTATAGCAAGATGTTATTTAGAGAAACTGAAAATGCACACAAAAAGATACAGGAGATAAGACAAGGAGGTAGAGGCTAGAGAAAATGTAAAGGCTTTGACAGAGTGCTAGCTGAGCCTGCAAAGAGAGAATGACAGTGGAAAGAGCAGCTAAAGAATAAACGTGTGGCCAGGCGCAGTGGCTCACGCCTGTAATCCCAGCTACTTGCGAGGCTGAGGCAAGAGAATTGCTTGAACCCAGGAGGCAGAGGTTGCAGTGAGCCAAGATGTGCCGCTGTACTGCAGCCTGGGCAACAAGAGCAAAACTCTGTCTCAATCAGTCAATGGGAGACGATAAGATGGACACTGTGGGTATGAAACACTGTAGCTGTTGGGAAATAAGAGAGCAGTTATTAGGAGAGAGAAGAGGTAAACTCTGATTGGGCTGCAACAAAAAAGTTGGAGTGAAAAGTTTCTGGGAGTAGATGGCACCAGGGGATAGAGGTGACATCATCTTTTCTTTTCTTTTTTTTTGAGCCAGGGTCTCACTCTGTTGCCCAGACTACAGTGCAGTGGTGTGAACAGGGCCCACCACAGCTTGGACTTCCCAGGCTCAAGTGATCCTCCTAACTCAGCCTCCTGAGTAGCTAGAGTGCACCACCATGTCCAGCTAATTTTTTTTTTTAAGTTTTTGTAGAGACAGGGTCTTGCTATGTTGCCCAGGCTAATCTCAAACTCCTGGGCTCACGCATTCCTCCCACCTGGGCCTCCAAAAGTCTTGGGATTACAGGCATGAGCCACCAGGCTCAGCTGACACCATTTTTTCAATCGTTCAAATATTATCTCAATTTGATCACACAAATCTTCACCTTTATTGTGCTAAACCTGGGCCTCCAGGAAGACTGTTCTACGCAAAACGACTGTGGATAAGTGGTGATGACCTAAACTCAGTGAGGTGGGAGAACGCAGGGAGGAAAAAGAGGAGCTTAGACTTGGACTCATCAAGTTTCCAGAAGCCTTAGGAGCTGTTGGCTAGAGACTACCTGACCTGGGGGTCTGGTAGCAGGTGGGAGGGACTCAGGAGTGGAGACACAAGTTTGAGAGCCATCAGAAAGTGGTCACTGAAGCCAGGGAAATGGATAGAACAACCTAAAGAAGGGCTGTCCGGGCGCAGTGGCTCACGTCTGTAATCTCGGCACTTTGGGAGGCCGAGGTAAGTGATCACTTGAGGTCAGGAGTTCGAGACCACCCTGGCCATCATAGTGAAACTCTATCTCTACTAAAAATACAAAAACTAGTTGGACGTGCCTGAAATCCCAGCTACTCTACTCAGGAGGCTGAGGCAGGAAATTCACTTGAACCCGGGAGGCAGAGGTTGCAGTGGGCTAAGATCATGCTACTGCACTCCAGCCTGGGTGACAGAATGAGACTCCATCTCAAAAAAAAAAAAAAAAAGGAGATGACAGGAAAACACAGCCTAGGAAACACTGGGGTTGGAGAAGGAGAAAACAAGCATAACAGGAGAGGTGTGAGGTGACAGGGAAGGTTGGGTTGTGGAAGCTGTGGCAGGAATACTTCATTTCACGGTGTCCAAAGGGAACCAAAGCCATCCACTGCATGTCTCAACTGAGAAGGGACAGCGGGGCATTGCTGAAGCTGTCGCAGTGCAGTGATGGGGCAGAAACCAGGTTTGGGTTGGTGGGGTGTGAAAGAAAGTTGAAGTAAACACAGCAAAGACTGGTTTCAGGAAATTTGGTGTTCAAATAATGGAGATGTACAGGGCAATAGTCGAGAAAGCAGGAGTTTGTTTTGTTTTGTTTTTTGAGACGCAATTTCGCTCTCATTACCCAGGCTAGTGCAATGGCACAATCTCGGCTCACTGCAACCTCTGCCTCCCGGGTTCAAGCAATTCTCCTGCCTCAGCCTCTGGAGTAGCTGGGATTACAGGCATGTGCCACCATGCCCAGCTACATTTGTGTATTTTTATTAGAGACAGGGTTTCACCATGTTGGTCAGGCTGGTTTTGAACTCCTGACCTCAAGTGATCCTCCCACCTTGGCCTCCCAAAATGCTGGGATTACAGGTGTGAGCCACCATGCCCAGCCTGTTTTACATTTTGTTTTACTTTTTGAGATAGGGTCTCACTCTGTCACTCAGCTAAACTGCAGGGACACAGTCACCACTCACTGCAGCCCTGACCTCCTAGGCTCAAGCAATCCTCCCACCTCAGCCTCCCAGGTAGCTGGGGCTACAGGTGCGTGTCACGAACTTCGGTTAATTTTTGTATTTTTCATAGAGACGGGGTCTCATTATGTTGCCCAGGTTGGTCTTGAACTCGTGAGCTCAAGCAATTCTCCTGCCTTGGCCTCCCAAAGTGCTGGGATTAAAAACATGAGCCACTGCACCCAGCCTGTTTTTGTTTTTAAGTAATGAATAAAACAGGTAGAGGACACTTCAGGTGAGCAGCAACTAATGGAAAGGAAGTGACAGAAAAAGAAGGAAGCCTTTTCACTAGAATGCCTGGAGTCCTTGTTATCTATAGTACTTAAAAATATTTAAATAACCAGAAAATTATGGCCAGGCTTGGTGGCTCTCACCTGTAATCCAAGCACTTTGGAAGGCCAAGGTGGGCAATGGCTTGAGCCCAGGAGTTCACCCAGGGTGAAACCCCCTCTCTATAAAAAGTCCAAAAAAATTATCTGGGCGTAGTGGCACATGCCTGTAGTTCCAGCTCAGGAGTAGGCCAGTTAACTATAGGGGGGAGGTTGAGATGGGAGGATCACTTGAGCCTTCAAGGTGGAGGCTGTAATGAACTGAGATGGTGCCACTACACTCCAGCGTGGGTGACAGAGTGAGACCCTGTCTCAAAAAAGAAAAAGGCCAGGTGCGGTGGCTCACGCCTGTAATCCCAGCACTTTGGGAGGCCGAGGCAGGCAGATCACACGTCAGGAGATCGAGACCGTCCTGTCTAGCACGGTGAAACCCTGTCTCTACTAAAAATACAAAAAATTAGCTGGGCGTGGTGGCAGTGGGCGCCTGTAATCCCAGCTACTCGGGAGGCTGACGCAGGAGAATGGCGTGAACTCGGGAGTCGGAGCTTGCAGTGAGATGAGATCGTGCCATTGCATTCCAGCCTGGGCAACAGGGCGAGACGCCATCTCAAAAAAAAAAAAAGAAAAGAAAAGAAAAGAAAAAGAAAATTACATGCACAAATC